GATGGCAACGGCAAACCTGTAGTTAAAGTGCAGATATTGCGTCAGCCAGTATCTCGTAAATCAGCACGTCAAAAGCAAAGTCTTTCGATTCACGTGTCAAACTTGTGAAGTGTCTAGTGATATAAATGAGTTTATTGTTATCATATCGTTGTGCGTGTTACATTGAGGCTAATTCTGTATGTGGGCGGATGTCCTTGATTGCTGCAACTATCGTGTTGATCCGCAGCTCCAATTTAATTCAATCGCATTCGATCCACGCTAAGATCACAGGGGTCCAGAACGCTCTAGGAGATTTTTTTGGTAGATTATAATCCAAAAATCGATTTGCTATACACGCGATCGTTGTTTAAGATAGAATTATTGCACATGGCTTGCATCGCAGCCTCGTTGCTAGGCTGTAGAGCTCAGTACTGTAGAGATTAAGATACTTTGTTGATCAGAGAGGTCAAGCGGTAAGTATTACGACGCATCACATTCAGTCCAAAGGCAGATATTGATGTCAAACGGTAGAAAGGAAAGTATTGTATGAACTTTACACCGGACAGTAGCTTGATGACTTGATGTCTGTAGCGTCGAAGCTGCGGACGCAAAGCTAATAAAGTAGCGATTACTGTAAAAGGCTGCTTTTAACCCTTTACAGTGCGTCACATTTAAAGAAGCAACTGCTTCTTATGGACTACTCAACTGATTGTGTGGCTTATTTGTAATACTTCAGTTTTGAGAAGCAAAAGCTATCACTTTGACGAAATAAAAGAAGTCATTGCCATCAATCACTGCTTCAACCTGACAACAAGCGTTCCTGATATAATCATGGTGAATATTGGTAATCAATACACACGAATAGACTCAACATTTTGTAAGTAATGCAGCTGGATAATTTAGGACAGTCAGGATTTTGGTCTATGAACAATGCCGAACAGGCGACTGTGGAGTCAGCCATTAATGCGGAAATTTGCCGCTGCGATATTACTGGTATGGCAACGGCGCTTCTGTGGTCTGCCAACTTCATGTTCATCATCAAGATGTAAGCCAATTTGGCGGTTCAACTTATCCTTTACATAAATAATCTCAGTAAAATTTCGATTAGCGTTTCAATATTTGGTGGAACGGGGGTAGAAAAATTGTCCGTAAAGGCATATGCGGTGTGTTTGTAACTGGGAGTTGCAATGCAAAGCCAAATGACGTAGTTGGTGATACCCCCCGCGGTTACGTACGATCGCAATTCAAGCGAAACGCAAAGGCCGCCAAAGCCAAGCAACGCAGCTGGTCCGTTTTTGTATCCCGTCTTTTCTTATGCCTCATTACATAAGTCGTTACTTACAAATATCAACGCATAGAAGCGTATGTTTCGTTGCATCAGCTTTTAGTCCATATCACCTGCGCCTTTTTAATACTTGAAAGCATCTCTACCAAAGCTTTGGTTTCATTTTTCTTTTCCGTGGTTCTACCATAGCCATTTAATAGATTTTCCTGATAGTTTCTATGATTCATGTCTGCCATCGAATTGAAAGTGCTGAACTCTTTGTGTTTATATGCCTCTCAATTCTTACTAGCGTCAACTACAAATCGCCTGTCTATAATTTAGTCGAAAGGGTGCATGAATGGTGCGAAAATATTTTGTTGAAGGGAGCTAGTAACTTCAAGTGAGTTAAGGTTCTTGTTAATAGATGCCAAACTCTATTAGCTGGCTAAAATATCTCTGAAAAGGTGGTTTGTGATCTGTTACTCTGCACTTAGCACAATCTGTCCTCATAAGATTCTTCGGTTCACATGTTGGATGATTTTTGATACTAGCTTTCGAAGTTCTGGCAAGTATCGCGAGTTTACGTATAAATGCTGATTCAAATCAAGCATCTACGCTTTTCACTTGCAAATCTATCCGAAATTTCAAGCAATGATGCACAAGACATGCTTAAGATAAAGCTGAGAAATTTCGCTTACTAAGTAGAGCGTTTGCTACACAAGAACTGCATGGCTAACATCTGTGTGTCCTTTGCCGAAGCATTCAAGTTAGGCCTAGGGCAGATGGACTTGATGCAGAATTCAGAACTCCATGTGAATTTATTACCCCTACTCAGCTAAAAGAACGCCATCGTGCAAACCAGACAGCAATACTATTACTTTGACTTAGGCTAGTTTTGAAGAATAGGATGTGAATAAATTCTTGAAATATTACTTAGTCGTGCATTCATGTCGTTGGAATTCATGCATCGCGGCTGTCCGCTTTAACAACTGCACAAGTGGTAAAATGAGATACTCGCTGGTCCAAACGGTCTATTCTGGCTCTAAGCACCAGATGTGTTCGTGCTGTCCTTGCGTTGTGTGGTTGCGTGGTGGTAGAGAGAGTCCATGTACTCGAAAGTTTAGCTTACCTCAAGTCAAAGACGGTTCTCCATTCAGGAATTCTCCTCCACGCTCTTGCATCTCTTTCACAAGATTAGCAACAGCGTACAGATTCACGGCATGACTATATCGACACTCTCGCATGCCTTTGTTGGTTTGGCGCTGCTCAAGGGTGTTGCACAGGGTTTCAATGTTTACGTGTATAACAAGTGTAAGGAGGACTTTACGCTGGCTCATGTGACACAAGGTGCTGTGGATTCCGAGTTTGTGTCTGCTGGGGGTTCCACTATCCGAAACATTCCCGATGGATCGCCCTCACATGTTCTCAAGTGGGGTCTTGATGCTCAGGCTACCTGTACGTCATAGAAACAAATTTATTGCAGTAACGTATTATTGATACTAATACGAATTTACATACTACAGTGGCCGAATTTTCAGCTGAAATGAATAAAGCGTGGTATGATATAAGTGTCATCCCAACTGGTCCCAAGAGTGGTGTAAGTGCCGTTTCTGATCGAATACAGTTGGTCAGGCTTTAACGATTTTGTTGTATGTCTTTGTGATCAACAGCCTGCAAACTGCATGACTTGGTCGGCATGTAAGGAACTAACGGGAGGTGTTGGCTTCAATAAACCCATGCAGATTACACCACATGTTCAAGATGGTCAACGCTGTGTCGAACTCACGTGCTTAAAAGACACTTGTGCAGATGCTTATACGTTTCCTACGGACGACACAAAGACACACACATGCCCACTGTCGACTGACTTTGACGTCACATTCTGTCCTGGTGGCTCGGGGGGTGCTGCACCGCCTCCTTCACAAGCTCCGTTGCCACCTCCAACATCAGCTCCTACACCCGAACCGACTCAAGCTCCAGCAGCTCCTCCTCCCGAAGAACAACAGGAACAATACCAACAAGAGCAACAGCAACAAGAGCAACAAGAGCAACAAGCGCAACAGCAGCAACAACAGCAACAAGAACAACAAGAACAAGAACAACAGGAGCAAACAGAGCAAGAGCAAACAGAGCAAGTGCAGGAATCAGAGTCACCGACCGAACCGGACAACCAGACGCCATTATCGAGTGGATCGACTGGTGTATCAAATGTGACTACTTCCACGAATAATACTGGAAATTTTCGTCAGACCAACACTTCGAATGTCAACAGTCCTACAGTGCAACATACGACACCAACAGTACATAACACTGCGCAACAGATTGGTGGAAAGAAGGGTCTCGACACGTCTGATAACGACACGGTCCAACACATCAACACACAGTCCGAGAGCAGCGGACCTGATGGTACACCGTACATTGTGCTGGCTGTTGGTGGATTCGTTGGTATCGTGGCTGCAGCTGCCATCTTTGCTGTGCGAAAGAAGAAGGCAGCTTTGGATGAGATGGAGAGCAAAACGCCAGTCTCTGCGATGCCTCAAGGCACACTCGCTGGTTTCTGCACCCCACGCAACAACGTCAGTGTTTTGTAGACAAGCTATGAAGCTGTGTATGTGGATAGACGCTTTTTTGTTTGTACATAAGGATAGCTATCTGTTTGCGCGAAATGAAGTGCATTGAGTGGTTCCCAGCGAGGAGATAGATAGTGGTTATACACTTTTCCTGTCTTGTATAAGGTTTTGTTGTTGGTCAAATTGAATTTGAGCAAACGTGCTGTTTACATCCTTTTGACTCTTACACCTACACTATTGTAATAACTAGACAAGTGCAACAGGCTACTCGGCGAAAATCACACTATTCTAGTCTGTATAGACTGGCATGCTTCGTACGTCATATAGATCGATAATATAATTTTATTTGATTGTATACCGTGCATTCGACTACGCCTTAATCGTTTTGCTTTATTGCCATTAGCTAGAGCCAAATAAAATTTAAAGCGAATGAACAAAACGTAGCCGTACTAAGCACGAAAGCAGAAACTTGTCTATAGTGAAGCAAGTCATGATATGAATTCTTCTTGGATTGCGCTTTCTTATATTGCTAGTTGTTGTGTGCGGGAATCAAATTCCGATCACAAATAGCATTAACGTAAAATGAATCGTACAGAGATCAATGCCGACGCATGGATTGAGTTGACCTTCTTGGTGCATTAATTTTCGGGTCTGGTTTCTATATTCGTCAGAGCTATACAAGATTGTTCACGAGCTGATTCCCGTTTCGAAAGATTACACCGGTTCGTGATTATCGGCAATCCAAGAACAAGCTTGACGTCTTTCAGTTTTGTCGTGTCACGGTGAATTATGAGACTAAATTACTCGATAATCATTTCTTGTCCTCCCGCAGCACGGTGGCTGAAGGCCCAAAGAAATACATCGATGCTAATCCGACACCATAGCACATTGTAGATGCTCCAAAGCGTTCATAATACGATGCGTCAACAATTTCTGACATTGCTCAGCTGCAGAGTTAAGAAAACGAGTTCCGGATATCGCTACCGCCACGGTGAATCATAAAAGAGATGTCGACGTGTGAGTGTGGTGTCAAACTTGGCATCCTTGCTGAAGTGCCTCCTAAAGTAGTTCTTTTCCTCGAACGTCCAGTCTGAATTCATAACCACTACATAACAGCATCCATCTTGTCTTTCTCTCTTCAAAAATGAAAGATCCTTCTTTATCCACGTAATTTCCCGCCAATTTTATCGTCAGCGTAAACATCGACGCGGTGACTTCGTGCTCGTGTCAGCACATGGATACTGTAAGACCTTTTGAGCCAATTATATAACCTGACAATATTTGTATGTGAGCATTATTCTCGGTATACAGACAAAGCGCTCTGATGTTGAAGAGGCTGCACGTCGACAAAGCTGCACAACACCACCCTCCTCTTATCTTTTTACTAGCATTTAGTCCCAGCTTTCAAATTAAACAAACCAAGATCAAGTTTTGAACTTCAATGTTTTGAAAATCAAAGTGATCACTAGATTGAGTGCCGGCAACAAAGTTACATGTTTGTTTTCAGTGTTGCTACTTTTGAATGAAGAACTACACGTCGCTAAAAATGCATATCAACAATGTCATGACCAAAATCTTTGATTTTGTGTCGTGGTCAATCGCTTGAGTCATCGGAATGCCAGAAACCTCGATGCCGCTTTTTTCGTCGATCGTCGCTGGAGTCATCGGAATGCCAGGAACGTCGATGCCGCGTTTTTCGTCGATCGTCGCTTGAGCTTGAGTCACCCACATCTGTACTTCCTGAACCAGATTCATGATGTTCATGCTTATGCTTATGCTTGTGTTTATGTTTATGTTTATGCTTGTGCTTGTGCTCATGCTTTTCTTTACGCTTTTTATGAGACCAACGCTCTTCAGCTTCACCTTCTGTCTGGTCATTGCTTTTCAGAGAATCTTCGTTTTCTTTTATAGATAGGAAGCGCCTTGAAAATGCTTCGGTGTTGGCCCCAAGCGCTGTACCTCTCATCGCGATAGCTGTGGACGAATCAGGAGAAGGACTGAGTCCGTTACTAGTCGTCATCACGACAACTGCGACAGTAGTTGCGAGTACTGCTTTACGAAGATGCATGACCGGGTACGCCTCAAAATGTCAATTCCAGGCCGTCAGGTTTTGTGGTGGATGGTAAATTGACAAATGAACGAATGAACGAATGTCGCTCAAATCCTGATGTGTGCACAGAATATCGCACACGATCGGCCTGCCCTTACATTGGCGATAGTGTAAACTATGTTCGCAGATAGATTGCGTGCGCGCTTACTCTGTGAGATTTGATGGTCTGTTATTCAATACAAACCTCAATTTATCAGCTGCATAATGATAAACGCATCTTGCTGTAACTAGCGCTGATCTTTAATGCCGAATCCAAGCTACATTGCTCTATAAATGCAACTTGGAATATGACAGACTTTAATCAGTGACAATCTATACAAACGTGTTTGTGATCACAAAAAGCTCATCAGCGATCCATCACAAGCGATAACACTGCCATCATATTTGCCTTTTGTATTATTGTGATGCCAGCAAGTTCGCAAGCCTTTATACGAATTGTGTATAAACTCTGACTTGGTGATGAGATAAAAGAAGCAACTTTGCATCATTCACCATCCGAATGCATTCAGATGGTGAGCAGATGTAATACTTCTATGGTGCCTATCCTGCATCATAAGTATTCGCATAGCTACGACATTTAAAATTTACTATACAAGAAAAGTACCTATGTGTTCGCATCTTTTTGTTATTGCTGTATAATTCTGACTGGTGATCTGTTGGTACATGTATATTCGACATAAAACATTCTTTATTTTCGTATGTCTTCGTCCTATCTTTGCCGTAACAATGCTTGATTACTCTGCCGTCATGATGTACGATCGAGTCTGCAACTAAAAAGAGGACGAAGGACATGAGCAAGCTGCTCTTATAGTAGAATTTCCCACATTTCCCAATATAAAGCTTGAAGCGGCACCAACCTGCTCCTTATGGGGTAGACTCTAAGGTAGCATAACGAGACCTTCGGGATGTATTGTTGCTCGCTCAGTACGTGGTACAAAGTGTCAAACTGTTTGGATTGCAGTATCTCTCCCAATGAGAAGTCGAACATCGAGTTTCTTTCTCGTATCCGATCGGCGACCTATCTGCCTGCGGTGTTTGGGGTCATTGTAGCCATACCGCCTACAAATTGGCGTAAATAGTCGAATCTGCCTTGGCACAGGGCCCAGCCGTCGTTGAACCTATTCGCGAACACAGGATCTCCACGGCAAGCAGAAAGAAGGTCTTGTTGATCCTTTTCGACCAGGTCGATCTGAATCATGTTCAGCCGGCCCGCTACAGTCGCTGGGTATAGTGGCGGAGAAGATCGCTTAGCTTAGTTGTATGTATTTTGATCAGACAATAGGGCAGGACTGTTGGTAAAAGCGCTGAAGAGCCCATATTTTCTCAGTTTCAAACAGCCAGGACCCGCTTGATGCCCGCATACAACCCCGGGTGACGAAATTGGCGATAAAAATTACTATGTAAAATCGTTCGATAGCACAGCCTCCATTTAGTCAAGTAACAATCTTGCTTTGGTCGCGAATAAAGACCCGAGCATCAGCTAAGGCCACCATGTTATCTTCACGACGGAAGTGAGCACCGACCAATTCGGCTTCGGTAATGCCTTTCTCCAATAAAGAACCTTTAACATGCACATAGTTTAATGACACCGCATAATTCGGTGAAATTGGCATGTCGCTGATTTAGCAGTGTGTTCAACCTTTGCAGGCGTAAACACGTCTTAGTCAGGATCGTCGCGACGATTTCAAGACACATGGTTCGCTTGCCGTCTGAACCAATGGACAAGATCCTACTCCGCCGCGAGAAGGTGACGACATCATACGCCGTACACGTCGAAGTGAATTGTGCTCTGGCCATTTCGTTTGTGTGTAACTGCAGATCAATTAAGTGGACGTTGACCAGCGTTCCGGCACTTGTTGTGCAACAGCGAATTCTAACATTCATATACGATATTGCTTGTGTGTGACCAATGTCGAGCACAAAGGAGCATTCCCAGCGGTGATGAAAAGCCTGATGAATAGCTTGTAGACTGGTATCGCAGATAATCCGGGTATATGTAGAACAGACGCCTTCACTGCAGCCTTGCAATTTGTGAGCGTCGAGACTTCCTATGCTGTATCAAAGTACTTCCGAACGACGCTCCCTTTGAGACAAATCCCAAGACTTTTCTAAACCGTAGAACAGACTCAACCTTGACAAAATATATCGCGACATGATCTTCCGGTTTTGGGCATTTTAAACACAGACAGAGTGCGCGCAAGAGTGAGTTGGATGTGACCTAATAGCGTGCTGGTATGATTAACAGCCCTGTCAGAGTAGCCAGATTTCTCAGATGACATGAACTATCGGATCTCGGCCCCTCTCTCAAGGTGTGCAGTCTCATGGTGACGCAGGTACAGATCACAACAACGTTCGCTTGCGCTTAGCGCCAAATTTCGCTTTTCACCCGAGCTCTAAACAGAGCTGGTACGTGACCGCCCGCACGGCGCCTGTTACCTCGTCGCGTTTAGTGACGACCACGTCGAACTGAAGACATGTTGAAATAGGCTCTGCAGGTCTTTCTTGGGCATTGCAGCGAAACTGCAGTAGCTCTTTCGCTGAGTGGAAGCTTACTTAAGGTCGCCGACCTTCGTTCTATACTTAGAACCAAGACGTGTGTAGCGAATCGCAATCTGTTTACTTCAAGATTAACTACAACCTTAACTCAAGGCTAATTAGCTCTTCCGTTCAAATGTAAACTGCATTTCTCGGGGGATTTTGCGGCAAAACCGTCTAAATATATATCTATAGATTTTTCCTCCCTAGATTGTAAAACCTACTTAAATGTATAAGTTCTGGCTGTTCCAGCCACATACTGTTTTTTATTTAAGTGCAGTTACACCATTGTGTACCATATTCATCACGACATTTTGTGATTACACCATCTTGTGTGACCCGTTACTGGCATCGCAAGGCAAAATAACTGACATAACGAAGGGACCGAGACGGTTGGTCGAGAGAAGGAGTAGAAACTGCGGCAAAGTTGGGTTTACCGGGAGATTATTTGTGGGTCTCCGTAGAACATACACGTTAGATCCCACTAACAAAGATCTTGTCATATTATCTTTGGCTTTGATACCCACACTGCTGTTTTCAAGCTTTACTTTGAAAGAAATGACACCTTAATCAAGAAAGCGGTATCATTATGCCTCAACCACTAAGCTAATCTATGTGGGAACCCTTGTGCAGTTGTTAAGAACTGATCCAATGGCCCAGCAATCACCGGCTCAGTATCAGTTATGAATAAGTTTTTTTCGTAACACCGGGAACCTGGGTAATGAAGAAAGACAACTTGTGCACCTGCGTTTAGACAACATGATAAAGCAGCATTATTTTTTTGGCCGGGACACTAAATGCTAAAATACTCAGGCAATGAACGTCAATATCAAAAGTACCATACATTGCAGAGAAGTGATTGGATTGGCTAGGACGCGCACGAACACTCACAATCAGGCTAGTAGCGGTAATCGGTAGGTCATGAGGCAGGAAAGAAGGTAGTAGTCCGATTGAAACGCACTTCACAAATCTCACTCCAGCGTTCAACGTCCAACCATCAGGTCCTATCAACAAGTGAACGATCAGCCACACAAGACTCTCCAGCTCTACACGCCTACTGCGCTGTTTGCTAACATTCCCAGAATATCTGCCATATCTTCCACCGACTACACGAAAGGAAAAAAACAGGTTTATTGTACGGACACTGATACAGGCACGTTTTATTGGGAATTCACCATACGAATGACGCCGGCGCGAAAGACTTACAGGCTATCAAGTCTGAAGCAGAGATGACCAAGGTGTGGGTACTGGACGACATAAAGGCATTGAACCTGATTGTTCATGGTGTTGTAGACAAAGTCGGTCAGCTACGACGGCTATTCAGGCATGGGCACGCAGCGCGGAGTATCATAATACAAAACCGCGTGTCCAAGACCAGGTGACTCTATGAGCTCAAAATAAAGGGTGTGACCATTGCAAATCAACTTGACATCTTTGACAAGCTGATCTCTAAGGTTGCATATGTCAGGGTCGCGTTGGACGATGCTGATTAGCTAGTAATTTTGCATGAGCAGCTTACCGCCGAGCTACTAGTAAGTCTTATCGGTCATTGGTATATCAAACGTCACCACCGTTATCGAGGGATCGAAATTGTTGAAGAGGGATGTCTCAATCAGCGATAATACACCAGTCAGAGACCAGTTAGTCAAAATATCCACTAAGTGCAGACGACAGGATATCTAGTAGCAGACTCAGAGGTAGCAACTAGTGTTGTAAAAAAGAACCAATATTGCAACTTGTATTCTGCGAGGTATGGCTTAAGCGGATTTTCTATCAAGAGCTCCCGCAACATCTGCCTCCGATCACGACTCGCCCTCGCCCAAAGCCGTATCAACAAATTCGAGGATACGAACTTCCACAAAATGCAAAGGTCTCGAGGAAGGTGATAGGAAAGATTAATTTTTAAAAAGATCAAATTTGCGCACTGGGCACTGCTCGATCTTGTTGGATCAGTCAACGCTCAAGAAGATATTATGGAAGGTCGTGACAGTCATCTGCCTTGCAATGAAGGATTTGCGGTTGCTCTTGATCTGGTGTAGAGGAAGGGCTTGGCCAACAGTCTTTTTTCGTCAATGCTTCATCACAACAATGGTGAGCAAATGTAATTACACACTCAAAAGTCAAGGCGCTGACATAAAAGCTCCATGGTGCATACTTCGGTCGGGGAAGACAATTAAATCGTCATAATTCTCACAAGCCCATGCGACTTGCCCCGGTTCTAAACAACGATGCTGGTGTTGAGAGCTTCTTACTAAAGAGGGATTTTGTAACTTCTCGGCTGCATCACGATGACGCAAAGCGCAAAAATAAGGTGGCGGGATTGATGGAACCGCACACTGACACTGTCAAGCGTTTGCGTTCACGATAGTTGGCGGCACAGAGGACGACAAACACCGGGTGAATATTTCAGTGCACTGCACTACTGTGGCGATTTTCTTTGTTTTCGTCTGTGGTAGCGCTAATACCGACACGTCAAGTCGCAAGTGGCCGGCCGGCTCGAATGTGACGCAATATATAACCTACTCAATAGAGTCTTATAGAAGCTACTGAACAATCACGCATGTGAACGGGGACTTTACAATCAATGATGTAGTTCAAGACGTCGGCATAGGCGCTACAGCGATGTTTCACTCAAGCAATGAAGGTTGTGCTTTACAACCGTATGGCCCATCATGAAGCATCCACACAACCTATCGGATATTTGACGTATTGCAAAGGGTGCCGGTCCGCTCACCAGCAAGGTATTTTGCTAAGCTTGCTGCTTGCAAAAGCAAGCGTTTATTCATGATCTGCGTGACGCCAATCAGATCTGACATGGCTAAAGTCATCAGAACGCCGTGAGAATACCAGTTCGTTACCCTAGCATATTTTGAACTGGTCACATCGGTTGTAGCGGACTAAATGTCATGGTCATGAAAACGTGTTGGCACTCGTCAATCTGTGGGAGCTAAGAGACGATTCTGCTGGGTAAGCTAAGTCGATGACCTAAATGAACGCTTTCTCGAGTTATGTTAAACACATACTCAAACCTATTTATAAATATTTGTGGTCGCTTTATGCGGCCACCTGTAAGTGGCAAGCGCTACAGAATATCCCACTTTTGTGTGTCGCGTATCTGCATGTGCAACAAGTCAAAAGAGGCCGACAATTTCACTACGTTCCTTTGATAAACAGGCGAGCAAGTTTGCAAAGTGATAGAGGATAAAATAGCACGTCAGGTAATGTGGCAAGTTTTCATGCGTCTAGACATTGCGCAAAGGTTAACGCCTCCGTACACACTTCAGCTGATAAACGGCACTACTGGGCTATTGAGCGGGTGCTGGTGCTTAAAGCACGCTGAGTGTTGGAACACGCTTACCTAGCCAATTCCCTTGGGCGTATAGCAGTAATGACGGTTGCGTTTCTGCGTCATCATTTTCCCACACGTAGTATCACCCGCGACATTTTGCCGCACTAATTCTGGACCGGCAGAAAAAGCAAGCCGAATGTGTCTGGTTGTCATGCATAAATGACTGTTCCGACGCAAAACGCACGAAGGTAAGCGCTGGAACGATATGCATACATGTTCTGGTAGCTGTTCTTTGTCAATGGTCAAATCATGCTGGCACGTATAACGGAAGGCATAAACATCTTAGCATATTTTCTTAGTAATCAAATATTGTGAGACTATATTCAAACCTTTGGATGTGCGCACTACTTATACACCCGGGGTTGCTATGCACTTTAATTCTTGCAAGTTTTGACAACTGGACAGAGATATGTTTGTTTGCTTCACACAGGAACGGACAAGATCAAACAGCTATTTCGTGTGCTATGCTATCCCAGAAGTACCATATATTATGATCGTCTATCTTAATTCCTTATTAAAAAATATATATACACCCTACTATGTCTCATTTTACGAATGAACTTTTGACTCGACGTGTGGCTAGCATCCCATGTGTTCTGCGGACCGATCCTTTGAGGAAATCCATCATCTTTATAAATATTAATACTTTGGTAGTTACGAATGCCCACAACTACGCAAAAGTGCAATGCAAATATCTGATGCAAACTTAACAGAACTTTTAGGTGCAAATACACATTAATACATGAATCACCATATCACACCTCAAATACGACGTGGTTCACTTCTAAAGTGAGCAAGGCGAGCAGCCATTGTGCTTATAGTCTAAATCCCCCTTAGCACTTAACCATGCTGAAAGGCCTTTCATGTACATTCAATTAAATGGTTCAACAAGTTTCCAGAAAAGGTACGCGTTCGATGCTCTTGAAGCAACTCTTGGTGGACATGCCGAGGAGTTCATTCATAAGAAAGTTGTGCTCAAAAAATCTACCTATCATCTTCGCCTTCACGTGCGCACATTAAACCAAGCATTTCACTGAGGAGAAGGCGCCTACTGCGCTCCGACCCCTCACCGCATAAACTACGCAAGGAAGCGCAGATTGCTAATCAGCATGTGTGAGAGTCATACCGACTTGCGTCAGAATGTGATAGATGGTCAAACCGTCTGAAGTTGCTTGCCACTCTGGGGTAGTCGCTTACATGCCCATACGCGCAGCCGTTCCGCTCACATCGAGACCAAAATGAGCGACGGAGAGTCGTCCCGCCGGGGCTTTCTCAGCCCACAGAACGTCACTCATCAGGGGTGTGATTCGCACTCTTACATAGTAGCAGCTGTTGAAGAAATCCTACTCACAATGAGAAAAAATTGAAACTGGCGAGGACATTAAACTGATATTGCGTAATGGGTGAGAAAAGCCGTGTTGCCCGCACTCGTCTTGATACTTCACAAATCACCTTCAGTGAAGCAGACGTATGGCTATTTGCGATGAACATAGCACATCGCGGTCGTCATGGTTAAATCCACCACTTTCGCTGTTACATATACAAGTGAATCGTCAATCACACCAAAAAATTTAGCCCATACTCACCAATGGAATATGTGATACATGAAGGGCGGGTCGCAAAAGATGGTGCGACCGTACATAGGTGTAAATTACACAATTAGACGTAATCACACAGTAGTGTGGCTACACCGTAAAAAGAAGTCACCACGTGGTAGTATTGCCAGTAGTAATGCATATCAATATATTAGTTAGATTTTACTTTGTTAGTTAGGTATTACTATATCAATAAGGAAAATATAGAATTTTAGATATTGGCGGCTCTGTTGCACCTAAAACAATTAAAAACAGTTTCGGTTTTTGACGGAAAAGGTTTGTTAAGGTTTTCAGTACTCTTGGAGGCAGCGGATTGCGATCCGCTGCACTCATACTGGTTCCTATAAAGAACGTAAGATCGGTCACCTTAGCGTAGCTTCGTTTAAGCAAAGTGCTACGACAGCCCCATTGCTCTAAGATTTTCAGCCGCTTTGTGTGATTTGAGGCACTATCACGCTCCGAAAAGATATTGCTACATTAAAATAAATGGCAGCCCGTCTAAGAGAATGTTATAGATGTTGCCTCGTCTACAACAGAGCGTTTCACATTTTGACTAGCGCGCAAGAGCGAAATCGCGATATGGCTTCAGAAAGCCTGCATAGACCAGAAAGTGTTCGCATTCTGCTAGCGGTCCAAAGCGGCCTGAGCACAACGAAATGTTGTTAGCCACAAACAATGCATGTGTTGGTCGGTAAATAACATTCAGCAGAACATTCGCCATTCGCTGACAATATATCCTCAAATTATTCATGTCTCAGCAAATGGTGTGCTGCTTCTAAACATCTTGACCCTTACCAAATGCGTTGTTCACCCTCTGCATGAAGCTTGATCTCATGGAAAAAGTGGTTAATTTTGCTGCAAAGTGTAGCCGGACTAGTATCAGCGGACCACTACAGTGCGTCTCCCACCAAACTAAAGCCACAATGTGGCGGTGTCAAAGAGATCCAAAACTAACAGAACTATTAATACTAAACGGGTTGAAGCTTGTGGAGGCATGTGCTGCGTTTATCGCCGCAAAACCAATGAGTGAAAGATACTACATTTGGAGCCGTGGTCTCTCGCGTACTTGCTTCGAAGGATATCCTCCACCATGCGACTTACACGATCCTGTTCGCGGGCGGCCCGCGGTTGATACATTTGATCCGGTGTCTGGATTTTGGAACAACTATTTACAAAACCTTTTTGTATGTCAATCTGATACAATGGCTACCGGCAAGCAATATTAGTGAAATGCTTTGTCGAGGAATCGCTTGACCATATCCTCACCTTTTGAAGTATCGCTGGTAGCAGCAAGATGAATTATCTTGCTCTAACGACCCACATAGACTACAATACCGGTACTGCAAAACGCATTCATAGAGACCACTACTAAAGTCCCTAATCATGGTCTCTTACCACTCTGCAAAACCTGCAGACTGATAAAAAATAGACGCGGTCGCATATGGCAAGAGCTCTACCTAGCAGCACATTTCAAACGTGCTCACATACATGCTTACCTAGTTTTAAATTGATCCACCAACGTGCACCTATCACATGCTTTGCTGTAAATTCTGAAAATTTGTTCCTATAGCTTGGTCTCTGCATCATTCACAAGATTGAACATGAATTCTCTCTCTATCCACAATACAGAAGATATCAATAGGTACGTTACACTAAC